GTTGTTGAACATGTCCGCGAATGCTGCGGCAACCACAGCTAGAGGGCACGAGCCGAATAAGCCGTCGAAGAATCGACAGATCATGACTGTCTGAACGTCCTTTGCTACGGCGACGCCAATAGCGAACACGGAGAAGCCGAAAGCCGCTATGACAAGAGGCAGACGTCGGCCATAGAGTTCCGACCTAAAGGCAGATCAGTCAGCCCTACCAGATCTTAGTCTCGTGCTAATAATGAGAGGATGCCTACATCGGTGCCCACATGATAGGGCCAAATGCGTAACCTAGCACGAAAAGCGATGTTCCCAAGGTCCCGACCTCCTCCCCGACGTGAAAGGTTTTTACGACTCCTGAAATGCCGGATGAGAAGATGCTGCTCCCCATTGTGGCCGCGAGTGCATCGTAAGCAAGGATGACACCGATAAGGAGTTTCTTTCTCAATGGCCAATTCTGAGCGTGCCTCGGATCATCGAAGCCATCAAACTCCACGACGTACTCTTCCATCTCTGGCAACATGGGAGGATACGGCTTACCAGCTCCCATGGCTGGGATTTCCTTCTGGCTTGACTTCCGGGACTTGATGGCACCCACAGTTCCCGAGTGCTGGGTTCGATGGGTCTCGATGCGATCAAGAGCATGTGGATGGGATTCTTGGTGGTTGATGCGGTTGGTAGCCGTTCTGCTCATATTGGCGGTCCGGATTGCTTCCAAGCGGACTGAGGGGGCGGACGAGGATGAGGCAGCGGAAGAGCTTGGGGGCCGATCATTGTCATCGCCTGGCATGGACCGATGAAGTTTATCCTTTTCTTCGGGGCTGAGGCGGTGATAGCGCTGGAAGAAGCTGTCGTGGGGATCCCAATTGGTGAAGCGGCGTGGGGAAGCGTCCCGCTCATCGCGGAGCATGTCCACGTCTGCTTCATTCATCTTGATAAGCGCGTGATATGTCTATGGCAAGTGTGTGTCTTGAAAAGGCTAATTTGAACTGGGCTTTAATAGTAAGGGGAGATCAGTCGTCATCTATGACGACTGAAGGATAGATAAGTGGGGGAGGATGTTGCGCCTAGCAGGATAGAGGATGTATGTGGTAATTGTCAAATCGTCCTCTCAGGACCTTGCATGAAGCTCAATGAATGAAGCGGACGAGATGATATAAAAATATTTACGGATGGAGTGAAGGATTAACGAGGTACAGTAAGGTAGGAAAAGATTTGAACGCGGTCAGCTTACTTTACCTTACCGGGTAGAGGCGGGAGAACGATACAGCTATACGGGGCTTGGCGCGCTATGACAGAAAAGGTCTAGATCTGAGCTCAGCAGATCCGCCACAGCGTCATTCTCTCGACCCCTGCTCCTACTCTATACTCTGCACTCTTACTCTACTCTACAATCCATTCTTGCAGGACAGTGACATATCAAATGTCAACCTCGTATCAGCATCAGATTGTGAATCTAGTCTTACAAGACAAAAAGATCACCAACATTCTATCAGCATGAGTTGTGAGTGAGCTGAGCCGGTCTGCTCGGAAAATCAGCCACCAACAAGCCCAATAACGAGCACGGAGGCTTGCAGCTCGACCTTTTCGAGTCGCCCATGGCCATCATCTTCCCGTAACCTATCGAGTACCGATTTTCTTCTTAGCCTCCGCTTTCCATTGTGTCCCGTCACGGTTGCTGTAAGACTCCCTGCTTGACGCGCAGCCGTCGGCGGTTCCCGCACTGGCACCATAAAGTAGGCATTGTCCCCAGACCGGGATTGTGGATGATTTCCTCTACTGCCTTTTATGCCGCCCAAAGAATTATTCGCGGTGTATTTATTCGATGGCAGCAATAAATATCTCGACACCAATATCGCAAATTTCTCCAAGCTCAACGATACGCCCACAGTGCACCGACTCCGACTTTACTATCACATGGATTGGCAGGACGTAGAAGTCAAAGGCTGCATCCGAAGCGACCGCACATCTAAAAAAACCCTCCTTCGTACAATCGTGCCCACTCCTTCAACGAGTGTCCAAAACAATTTGCGGTACGATGAAGAATGACTTTTGATGTTCGACCAAAACATCTTACACCCCAGGTGACAATCCATGGGACATTTCTTGGGGTACGTAAAGACATCCATAACCGGCACCTACCCGATACAAGCGGCGAAGAAAGCTACAACTGCTCGCGCCTTCTGTTCTACCCAGAGACACACGTCTTCCTTCTAAAATTTTCTGTATCTTCCCCAGCTTCGTTGACCCGGCCGTTGGAGAAGTGGTTGCCAGAGATCAAGCATTGGGTGCCGGGGGCGGCCTGGGCAACGATGGGCTTGCAAACTGAGACAAGGAGCGAAAAAGAACGAGGTGGACATATGAGTATGGTCGGTGAGAAAAAGCAAGGCCAGGAGCTGGGAAGAAGACTGATAAGGATAAAAAAAGACAGAATTGTATATACAGAGTGTAACGCGAGAGAACAGGGAGAGCTTGAACCGGTCCTCACAAGCAGTGGGTAGTGCAGACCAAATCATATCGTGTCGGGCTTATGCTGCAAAAATCACTGAGATGTTGCTCATGATCACTTCCAGATAGTCGCTGCTGCAATTCCACCGCCCATTGACGTCGAGGGACCCTAGGTAAAGACACTCTTACGTCATTTTCTAAGACTCATAGACTCTAATGGTAGGCTAGTTGTAGGTACTCTCCGAGAATCAACTGGCCATCGTGGCGACCTTGTGCACAAGACAGTTCGAGCGTACAAGTAGTTCGTTCACTGGCAGAGGGTCGGCATGCCCGGATAGCGCGCTTGAGAGGTTTAGTGAGTCGAATCTAGACTTTCTGGGTGACCGTTGATTACAAACTAAGAATGCCTCAAGACCTCCAGCTCAAAAGTCCCATCGAGGCATCATCCGCCGAAATCTGTCTCTCAAATTCACACATAGGCAAGAATCTTGACGAGCAAGGCATAGGCGGCACTTGCATAAGCTCCTCCTTGCGGAATGATTCGTTTGTGGCTAGAACACGTGGTTTCAGTACGTGCAGCGCGCACTTTATACGTTCCTAGCTTCGCCGGTACGATATGCCACCTAATGCTAATTGACCCTACTCGACCGAAAATGATGTATCTGCCCCTGCATCAATCGACGGCGTCTGTACTCCCGAAATGTTTGGCACGTCCTGAATGCTTTTCAAGTTTCCGACCTCCCACCGCTTAATCTCCTTCTTGAAAACGGGGAAGACCTTATTCGGTCCACCAGGTATGTGGGTGCTGCCGTAGGCTTCGAAGATCAGGACATCGTACCCTCCACTCTGCACCACGTATAGCCGGGCTTCTCCGTTGATTATTTGTATACTGTTTGGGATCTTCATATCGATGCCCTTGATCAGATCGCCGTGGAAGACACCGATTCTTTTGTCGACAAGGTAGTGGACCCAGAACTCCACAGTGACCGAGTAATCGTCGTCGATTTCGCCTTTGACCTGTACCATCACGATTAGTCGTAACCCCAAAGCCACTTTCTGGTGTTTGGGAATGCTCAACATACGAGGAAGTAGACGAGGTGTCCTAGCCCAGGGATATCGATTTCTTCCTCGAATGGTATTGTCTCCGCGACCTCCCCATTTGTGCTGTTCAGGGCAAGTATGTTAGAAGCAGTCGGGGTGCTGGCAAAAAGAATAGCGTCTTTCTTGTGAAGCAAGTTCTTCAAAGGAGTCGACAAGCGTTTCACATGGTGAGCTGCGAGGTTGACCGGATCCTCTGAAGTGGTGACGTGGGCGGAGGTGAGAGCTGGTAGCAGAAGACACATGAGATTCGACAGAACCATGAAGAGCAACATGATGGTATGACGAAGGTATGTCACCGCAGGCTGGCTAACATTCCCTTGCAGAAAGCGTGACAGGTCGAGAATCGAGCAATCGGTCGTATATAGAGCTACCCTAGGACTCTGCAGAAATGGTGCACGGGAATTTAACCGCGAGGCAACAAAGGACGCATAGACGGTTAAAGCGAGTTGGGTTTTGATTTTGGACTAGAACACAGGGACAGCCTTGCTGTATGCTATTATACAAACGCTGCCTCTGTCATTGGTTGAGATAGAAGATAAGTGTGCTGCGAGGGAGTCGCACTTGGAATTAGATTGACCGCGGATACGCCGTCGCCTACAAGTAAGAGCCCCAAGAGTGTTGTCTGGCAATTTGCCGCCTTTTAATCTAGGAATACCCCACTTGTCATTGGCCTAAAGACAAAGAAGCTCTTTCTGGGAGGTGATAGGAACTGATAGGGCACCAACCATTATGTGGGCTGCCTGAACGCCAGTGAGGCTTTGCGGGAGCAAGTCACTATCCAGGGAACAATGCAGATGGCGAACCGGGTTCAGTGTTTGGTAGCCAATACCAGCATGAACCGGATCTACCTCTCCCTGCAAAAGCGATAGCCGAGCGGATAATATCAAGGTCGATGAATTACAGCCACTCACAGACTGAGATCTCATCTCTATTCTTGATATTCTTCAATCAGCTCTATCATCTTGTTGCTGATCAGATGAGCGCTGGAAGGTAGCAGAGCTTTGGTACGCCAATTTGCCTTCTGGTGTTGTGGTGCGATTGCGCATGAGGTCAGCACTGGCTGTGTTTCTTTTCGCCAAGCGAACGGTCAGCATCGTCCAATGACCAACCACTGTGGCCGGCTAAAAGCAGGCTGATTTTGTTTATAGCATTCGAAACATAGACAACCGCGCCACACAGCCGCTAGGTCCCCCAACGCATGTCGCGTGTTAAAAAAAACATCATTGCGCATCGGCAAGCGCAAAATTCCCCTAGGCCCAAACGTCAACCTTTTACCAGGAGCTGGCTCCGAAGTACACTTCCACTGGGTTTTTATATTGCGAGCAAGCCTCCACGCTTGCATGAAAGCTGTGATCCCACGAGAGGAACATATGTGAACCATTTGTGTATCTCGAAATCTTGAATCGTTTCAAGATGTTTCTATCTAAAGCTCCCTCGTGGTTCCTGTTGTGCGCTCTACTATGCTCGCAGTGCGTACTTGGTGCCCACTTATCTCGTAGGGGCCTGACAGAGCGCTCCTCGCTATCAAAGGCTCAGAAACAGCGTGAACCACGGTACCTAATTCAGCCAATTCCTAATATCATACACTGCATTGATGGGAACTGACATTGTCCAAGTGCCAACGCAATCGCACAACTCGATGTCATTCCAACCGTTGTTCCGGCAGACGGGGCCAAATCAATCGGCATCCACATCCATCCCCTGACTGCCTCAATCCTCCCACAAGCCGTTGGTCAAGTCCTCATCCAAGCCCTCTTCACCGCCTACATCACCTTCGGCCGCGAACCTCTAGCCCTCTCCAACTCCTTCCACCACAGCGTCTCGTCTCGATTGCCGAACTTCAACGTCGAGTTCGAGCTGTCAGCCACGGGTAACCAGACGGCGGATTTCGTGTTGACAAATAGTCGGATTGTGGAGACGCTGTCCCTGCTGGGCTTCGATTACTCGAATCAGCAAAACGTGAGCAGTATGGTGGAATACAATTTCGATGTCGTGATTGATGTCTGGATGCAGCCCGAGGTTGTTATTGCGAGGGGGTCGGTGAAGAATTTACCACCAGCTAGTGCTCCTGCGGCTACCATCACGGCCAAGGTTTAGGGAATTAAATGGATATTGGAGGGCGCTATGACTACGGCGCAGGGTTGGCGCCTATCCAAAGGCTCCTCCCTGGGAATTACCAGACTGTGAAGCTCAGACGACTAAGTACAAAGCATTACCATCTGCGAGGGAACATTTGTCTGACTTCAGAGCGCTGCTTCGATGCTTTCTTGCCTACCTTAGACACAAAGCAATGCTTATCGTCTAGTATCACCACGAGTCTGCGATCGTAGACAAATTGGACAACGGCCTCACAATGAAGGTAGAGAGACATCGGCAAGTACCAATAAATTACTATCGTTGTGACCAGGAGCAGCAAAACGTATTCTGAGCTTAGCAGTGCCTCGGCACCAGCGAACCCAAGGCCCAGCACGTTCTTTGACGGAGAATATCAGGATACTGAGACTCGAAGACTGATATTTTGATACGGTCAGCGAAAAGTAATGAGAATCTAGTACTCACACGGCGGTAGCGCCATCAAGCAGGAGTAGCTTTGAGACGCCATCAACTTACTCGGCGCTTGGCCCATCTTTGGCAGCTAACATTGAGGAAGCCCGTTTCCCATGGTTGACTGGCGGCTTCGCTTGTGCGCGTAACGTATATGCCAGTCTCTATCGCTCACGCGCTATCTAGAGTCTAAAGACTCCCATAAGCTGCCGTATCTACATCGTGCAGACAATGCGAGGGATCGGCGATGGGCTCATCGTAAACGGGAAGTACAGCCAACTTTCGCGTTAAACCGCAATTCCCAAAGTAATCGAACACAGGGAGAGCCACACATCCCTTGTGAAGCGAAGAAGGCTTGTTACTTGCGATGACCGAGGAATAGGCGCCGAGATGTAGTGAATGTTTGTTTCCGCAATGTGCAGTAGTAGCTGTGCTTATTGCTAGGCCAGATATATACGGCCAACCATAAATGCCTTGTATAGGTCAACTATTGTTAGCGATGGGTTACACGGGCAGGTGTTTTCTGCCTGCGTGATATGTATGAGCGAAGCGAATAGTGGGGCCACGATTGGGTCGAGGTGGTATTTCGATACCGCGTTTCTCTTGTACAAAACCAGCCCATTCGACTGTTTTACTTCGCGTACGCATTGCCAGAATGCTGGCCGAGCAGGCGCCGGAACGGGTTCGAATTTCTGCCGTAAATAGAGTCAAAAGAGACTCAGCGATTCTGGCGACCATTCAGTGTAAGCCCGATTAACACGACTGCAATTTCTTTGTGAAACACAATGGGAGTGTGGATACACCATCAAGACCAGGAAAGAACAACTAGAAGGGATAATCATCTCGGGAACATATCGGTTGAGTGATGGGAAGCCTTAGATCGAAAATGGCGGATAAGGATACATCACGCCGCGATGTGTTGCAGGGCTGGTTGGATGCAAAAGCTTCGAATCCACAAGAATGTTCCTTGCCTCCCAGTCTTTGCTCTCGTGCTCCATTTCGTAACGAACCCTCTGCTATTCCTCCATTAAATTGTCGCTGAACTCAATGGCCGACTCGTGAACCCAGATACCGGGTCGCCTGTCATCAGTGGCTGTATAGCCCGGTTCCGCTCGGAGTGATACCACTTTACTCCTTTGCTTGGAACTGTGGGCTGTCCCACAGAATTCAGCGTTAGAAACTGCTTTGCTAATGGTCGTTTCCATTGTACCTTCCAGAAGGTCTTGTGTATGAGATCGATGACGAGTACTGGACACGGATTGATCGATTTGGGGCCGGGCTGATATTCAAGGGATACCCTTCTTCTATGAAGTACCTGGAGTGGTAAACCAGTATGTGCGTGTCAACCACTTCAATACACCTGGACGAACGCGCTAATGCCACCCTGTTCTTCCTCACCTCATAATTATCGAGATCTGCCGCATCCGGAAAACGCTTCCTATCGTAGTAGCTAAACTGCGGCGACTCAGCTGCACCTTGAAACAGCTATCGAGGCGTCGTTATTGTCTTTTTTTATATTCAGTTGACATTCAGAAAGATTTAGGTGGCGACTTTGAATCAATGCTTCGTGCGTTTTCCCCCCCGGGACTGGAAAATGAAAATGGTGTCCACTCAAGATGCTTGCCGAAAGGCATCGTCTCACTTTCCCCTGAGTAGTGTCAGTCACACGGATCTCCGAGGCCAGCACGAGCTGCTGAGATATATTGAGCAACCAGTGAGGCTGTCTGAGTAAGTCCAGCCAAGTCATCATACCCTCGTTCTTGTAGCTGGTCCTCGTGTGTAAACCTCTTCGAGAAGGGAACTATGAACCTGCACATTTTATGCCCGCCTTTAGCCTTGGCCAAAGCGTGAGGCCACGTCACTTTTCTACCAGCTTACTTTAATTGAACCTTCACTATTGCGTCCTTGAAGTGATGGAGCGCCTTGGGGCAAATTACAAATTCATACCCCAAACTATGGGATTCTTTACAAATTCATACCCCATCTTACATTTTCATACCCCTCACCAAAAAAATAGGGTATAAATTTGTAAGTTGCCAGTCTTTAGGGTATGAATTTATAAGTTACCATTTCTTGGGGTATGAAAATATAAGATACCATTAACATGTTAGCAGCAGCCCTCACGGGGGCCCTGCGACGTCCCTACGGGAGCCCTACGGGGCCCTATTTAGGTCCAGACACCCCCGAGATCAAGCTTTTTTAGCTGAGTTGCTAATACAACATCCCTATACCTATAAATTATTAGAAGGGTATTTTAGAATATTTCAGACTCTCTATCCTAATTGTTAGTAACCTGATTTATCGCTAAAGAGTTAAATAGGGGTATTTATAGTTCACGCTGTAGACACCAGGTCGACAGCCCATTCACCTCCCTATGTCGTTCGATGGCAGCTTCCTGTCCATCTTCATCTTTTCCAGGAGGGAACGAAAAGCTCGCAAACGACCTTTGGGGTACGATCGGCAATTTTGCCTCGACGTTGAAGCTCTAGCAGATGGCCCGTTTCGACCACTGGGGATTCCCTGGAACGAATCGTGGAAGTCTCCCTGGTGCGACGGAGTCAAAAAACGAGCTCTGGCACCGAGAAATCTGATTGGGTGAGATCCGCTGAGTAAGCATGATAGTCTTCGACGCTATGATTCCTCCAATCACTCCGCCAATTCCACTCCTCAACATGTTAACGCCGTTGATATTGGCAGAATCATACTCCCTCTAGATGAGAAATACTTGAGTATCTGACGATATGGTATGATCGCAATACGGGAGCTGATCTATCCTACGATGTGTTTCAGCGCCCTAGTGACCCCGCAAAGCGCATAAACAAGACTTCACCGTTCCTTCTCCGCATTCATATATTGTGGTTCCGTCCATGTCACTGTTTCACATCTCTGAGCGATCTTGTTGCAAAGTGTAAACAATGCTAATCATTTTTATTGTATTAAACTTGACACGCGTTCATCTCCTCTTGCTGCCGTAGCACACAAGAATCCTTCCTGACCTTTGAAACAGACAAAAATATGTTCTTTTGCCGAGGTTTTTTGTTTCGTCGCTCTTTTCCAGCAGTTCACTCACTCCTTCGCGAATTGATTTCACACCACACTCCTTCGGTTCTTACAATTCCCTTTTAAAGAGACATTCTTCTGGATAGTTCAGTCAATATGCACCCATCAAACATCCTGCTCCTTACGCTGGAAGCGTCTCCTTTAGAACTAGCTGTTTCCCATAATCATCCCAGCCCTGGTCAATGGGGCCCTTGGGGGCCTGCCCAGTCCCCCACTACTACCTCGACAATTAAGATCGCAACTTCCACTCATAACACCCCGGCCGATACTCCACTAACTCCAGTGGTGGCCGGTTCTTCCGTTGCTGCAACATCTCCATCAAGCAGCAGCACTTCTTCCGCTTCGGGTAGTTGCAGCGCAAGTTCTGGCTAGGATTCCTTACTATACTCTGGGCCTTTCACATATGTATTCAAAGACCGGACGATTTATCGAACCTTGAGACACTTCTGAAAATTTCTGCTGGAAGTCAAGATTGTACAGCACCACAGAACGTGCCAAGAAGCTGAAGCCGACATGAACTCCTCTTCTCAGTATCAACAACAATCTCTGGGGCATGGCTAGCGGAAGCGGATCTCAATGCCTCGATTCTGCATCCGGCGGCAACCCAATCGCGTGGAGCACTAGTTGGTCGTGGGAGAACACCGCAACCGACAGTTCACAAAAACATATCAAAAGCTACGCAAATGCCTACGACCCATCTATCGCGTGTCAGGCGCTGAAAGAGTACTAGACCAGCCCCACGAGTAAGACATGGAGGTAAGCTAGCTGGCGCTAAGCTTGCCCTAAGCTTGTCCTCAAATCTCCCCCGTGATCACTTTCGCAAGGCAAAAACACACACTGACAATGGGACCGAATAGCTACGACGTATCGCAACCCGCCATCGTAGCCGACGTAGCCTATGACGCCTTCTTCGGCGGCTCTGAAAGTGTCGCTCCTGGCCCTATCTATCCCATCGAAGTCATGATTTGGCTAGGAGCTTACGGCGGTCTCGGCACATAGCGGCTCTCGAGATGCCGCCACAGAAGCTGCGCTAACTCCTGAAATGCCGTAGGTCCAACCGGCTCCCCAGACGACGGCGGTTCCGCAACTCCGATTGGCACCATAGTTAGCGATGCCATCACGTTCAATCTGTTCAGCGGTCTGAACACTGGGACGTCAGCAACGGTCTATAGCTTTTTCGTCGCTAACGGGTCTACCTATCTGGAGAAATTCGAGAGTGGATTGTCTGGAATGCTGCTGCAGAGTGTACAGGCGGGGACAGAGGCAGTCACCGGTAGTGCTACATTCTTGACTAGCTCATACACCATCAGCTCTAGCTGAAATCCTAACATGAGAAAAATGAGGGAGAGTAGGGTCTGCCAGTTGTGATAGCTATCATCGCAGCGGCTCTTCACTAACATGCCGCAAAGCCAAGCCGAGCTTAGGCTCCGAGGGAGCATTCTTAGGAAGCATTACAAAGTATTCGGAAGCTGCGGTGCTCTCATGTAGCTTCTGTGGTGGAGTAGTTGAGCGCTTAGATGTCAAACTTGATTGAATGGATTGTAGGAAAGTTCGCAAAAGCAAACTGTTCATTTTAAACTGGCGACTATCGTGCTAGGTAACATGCTCTGCGAGAATAACCGCAAAAGTAATTTTTCCAAGGCTTCGAGATATAGTTACACTTGCACCCATCCCACATGTACTCCTCTTCTCCTTAGATCACAGATCTCCTTGCGGCCGCTAGTATCCCTTAGGCCAAAGCGAAGGTGGCCTTGAGAGCAGGGATGGAGGGCGAGAAGAAATACTCGCCTCCTTTCGGCACTACCCATGTGGGCAGAGTGAGTGAGGTACTTTGGCTCTGTGGGTTGGCGCCTATCATCGAACGAGCTCCTGCAGTATTCTGACCGATGAGAGGGTCGAGTCCTGAAATCACTGCAGCCCCCGTCGGTCCCGTCTTGGGAGGAAAGTTGGCCGTGTTCGACCAATCTAACAACCGTTAGCCGATTGTCAACAAAGACTTGTACGGATGGTAAGTTACTGTTTTGCAGAAATTGGAACCCGAAGTGAATGTTGCTCTGGTATGCTGCGAAGAGGAGGCCACGCCCGTGGACAGTCTTTCCGGATGCAGCTTCAGCTGCAGTAACTTCTGGTCCGAACTGGACACCGCGACGAAAGATACGGTGTTTCTCGTTAGCGTTCGCGGTAGTTGCGTTGAGATCCTCAATGTCGGCTCGAGGGTTTGTCTTCCGTGTGTGCGCTGCGAAGGGGCATCTATCTTGCGTCTTTGAGTCGTCTGGAAAGGCGTAGCGGAAGTTGTTGTTGCGAGAGGCGTCTTTCCCGAGGGCCGGGTCATCATGCGTTGGTGCAATATCGACAGGTGCTCCTGTGCGCCATCGCCACCATTAGCATAAGCGACAAGGCTCGCAAAAAAGGCACAGGCCAACATACCGCTCATCCAACGACCGACGAAGCGGGCCCCGAGGAGTTCACTGCCAAGATCAGGAGCTAAACCAGCGATAGGATTCCGCTTCAGAAATGTTTGGAATTCAGGGACAAGTTGAAAGAGATAGCGAAAAGCAAGAAAGCTCCCATCCAGTGCCCAGGATGGTCGAGTATTGGGTCCCTGGTCCACAAAAGCGGCATTGAATTTATCATCGCCTTCGCGGCCGAGGAGTGTTATTCCTTGACGTACAAACTCCTGCCCAGGATTGTTTGTGGCATTGACACCACGGACCGCAGGCTGCGAGATGCCGTCCAGAAAGCCAAAGCTGTGATAAGATATCAGCGGTTGAAAGGTCTTGCGACTCTAGTAGAGATACGAACTGCTCATGACCCTTTTCTTTTCCCGGCCGGACATCTCCGACAATGCGGAGCGCTTCATGAATGGTGGCGCAATGTGCTCCAACGAAGAAAATCCTTTCGATCTCAGCTAATGTTTCGGCGACTGTTTGGTGGCTTTCGCCTGAGACCAGGATCATGCCATCAACACCTTGCTTGAAAGCAGGGACCCAGTCAGGACTGTCTGAAGTTGCCGTTCCTGGGTCACCGAGAGTTGGTGCATCAGCGAGCATCCCTTTGCGAAAGACGTCGTCCCCAATGTTGTCGTTGATCCCCATCTGCGAGGATAGGAGTCCACATTAGCAAAGCTTCAAACATATGGCATGCCAAGCAGTTTGGCCCACCTTCACCAGTCCCTTTTGACTGAACACTATGTTGACTCCGCTGATCTTCAAAAGCGACGGAGAAACTCCACGTCCCACTGCGTCTTTCTTGTTCTGAGATATTTTCTCATGATGGCTGAAAACCTGCGCGGTCGTGGTGATAAGAGGGATTAAAGTGGCCAGTTGTTTACGGAACGCTTGGACGCGGGATTCGTCGATGAGAAAGAAAAAATAGGTCTGAGTCTTCTTGGGAAGACCCGCCCTGTGAAAGTGAGTTTTGCTGGAACGGTACTCATCTCTGGCTTCAGGTTTAGACTCACAAGATGTCACCTTGGACATTGTTGAGATCTAGAGGAGCGGGAGTGGAAGACGTCATGTCGAAGGCTGAAGGACGGCTGTCAACTGTGGAAGTCACGAGATGGAATTTTGAGAAAGCCACTAAGTTTATAGAGGAAGACCAGTCGCAGATGGAGAATAGTATATAGTTGTAATCCTTAGCGAAGCATCGGGGGGGCCTTCTTATATGTAAACCAGAAGGCGCTGGGCTGAGCAAGTACTGCTGTGTTACAGTTGGCTGGTTGGGAAAGCCAAAATAGCTCAAACTGCAGCTCTGCTGTCAAGAAAACTATCACGAGGGCCAAAGCATGTAAGATTTTGGTGCCCGTCTCACGGCGTACAATCCGGTCTTCACAGATTACTATACGGATGCGCCGCTTCATCACAACGTAAGCGGCCTGTGCCCGAGGAACATGGCTAAGAGGTGGGAAAGGCCGGATCCAAGCGGGCAAGGGGTCTTCTGCATGTGTTTCTCGTAAGCACGAAATTTCAGCTGTTGGGGTCAATGACGGCAGTGGATCTTATTCTGTCAATGGTCGATAGCTGTTCGAGGACATGGAGAAGTGTAGTACCGAGTGCAGCGGCTTGATGGAGCTCTGCTCTTGGTTCGCCAAAGCAACAGTAAGCCATGTTAGTCACAGCCGAAGCCCGCATTGTTCATGCAAGTCAGACGACAGATATTTTTATTGCCAAACGCTCATCATGTCAAAGCACAGCCCACATTATGTCTTTGGCGGTACATAGTGTTGTTGTATGGAAGCGTATAAACGGATTCGATAGACCTATGTAGGCTGGATGTACGATACAGTACAGGAACAACACGACGAGTCGGAAAGCACCGCAGTAGGTGTGCGTGAGCTTTACGCGCCAAGCCTAGAGGTCCAAAGTATTACGTCATCCCCGTGAGCCGGGTCTTGTCTGGGGCAAGTCGAAAAGGCCTCTCGGTCGTTAATTCTTGCGAGACTGCGCGACTAAAGTACTCTACTACGCAAAGTCCTGAGCAGCGCTAGTAGCAGCCCTAGACTTTCGTTCGGAAGACGACCCTGGAGCCGAGCACCCTGGAATGTTTGTTTGGAAGCGTACAAATTGAACTTAGAAAGGTCTTTTGGGCCTCATAGAACCTTGAGCCGGGTACAATTCCGAAGCGGCTCTAAACGCATTGTCCAGGATGCTACTTTATTGTCGAGGTATTTATTCGCCACAGCTTGACTGGGGGCTAGTGAGGGAGAGGCACAGCACACACTTATGGCAGGATAGCCGAGATTACCATGTTGGAAGAGCCTTAAATAGACGATATCCCCCCCATTTCTTACTCTTCATTCTTATTCCTCTCATCACAAAAAGAGATTTTTAGACTTTTTCTCTTTCCTAATATCAAACGAAAGCAATTTTCATTTAAAAAACATATTATTCTTCTATTTATATTATTACCATTCAGCCACTACCAATAGCCCTTAAGCGTCTTCACAAGTCTATCGTAAAGGCCATAGCTACACATCAGACTGCCGCCACCAGACCACCACCTCCACAAGAACCGCCCACTAAACCCATAAGAGGGCCCTCTAATAAACCCCCCCCTATTCTCGCTATACCTTCTATTCACCAACTAGATCCTTTAATAAAATCATTCACTCCGTCTAGGCTAGTTCTTAATCTCTATTATATTTAATTATAATTTATTTATTAGAAACTCGAATAAGAATAAACCGACAAAAATAATATACTTCAGGACTATGACGAACTCGCCCGTATATAAAGCGAGATTAATAAGATTTATATCTATCGTTAGTCGACTACCTTTACTATATATTAGCTTATACTCTATACTCTTATATTATCAACTTATTAATTATTTCTATTCGCTTTATCTTTTTAGCTATTATTTATATCTCTTTAAACTCTATAATTAACTTTAACTCTATTATAATAGAGAACGCTAATATTATCTAAGATAAAAGTAATATTATATCGCTTCTTTTTATATTAAGATAATAACTTTATAATAGCTTCTCTTCTTCTTTATTTTAAAGCGATAAATTTAAAATATATTAAATAAATCTATTATAAGACGTTTAATATTAAATATCTTAATAAGTTATTTAATAGCTTTATTAATTATCTCGCTAGCGATAATAAGAAAATTAAGAGACTTAAAGAGCTTCTTTAATACTTCGAGATCTATAATTAAATTATATATTTCTTTATCTATAAAATAATTATCTTATTTCTTTAAAAAGCTCTATCGAATTATCGCTATTATATTTCTAATCTATTAACTATCTATATCTTCTAATCAATATATTATTTTTACGAGATCTTCGTTTATAATAGAATTTAGCTTTATTAAGACGATATCTATATATAATAAATACTCGATAATTATTTAGAAAATCGAATTCTAAGATAGCGACCTCCGCCGATTTAATTAAAAGCTTATTTACTATATAATTCACGCTTAAATTAAACTTTATCTTAGATATATCGTAGTATTACTTTTATATCTTTTTATTAAAATACTTAAAATCCTTAATTATTTTATTATAATCGATTTAATCGTAATAAACCCTATAACGCTTAAGATTATCGTTATCTATATATATATAATATATATAATCTATTATATTCTACTATTAACTATATTAATAAAGTCTTCGCTAATATTACTTCGCTAAATATAAAGCTCTCTCTTATCTCTTAATTATAATTAATATCGAGGGGCCTTAAGTCGATAGTCGAGTTATTTTTATATATACTTATCTCGCTAAATAAGTCTCTACTAAAGAGATATAGCTTATTAAAAAAAGATAACTAAAAGAAATAGCTTAAGAATTATCTCGATTAAAT